GTCGAGCGCCCTAACCACCTGGCCATGCCGGGCGGAATAGTACAGAGTTTGTACTGTGAATACAAATTGAAAGGACGTTTACCGCATTGTTCATCAGAACTCTTCTTTTCACTTTTTTGGAGAACAGATTGTATACCAATAGGTGTGATCTGTCAGCCTTTTGTTTTTGAAATCCCGAAATAATAATTAACCAAAGCAGGGAAACCATTCTTCGCTAACAACGCTGAATTAAGGAAAAACCAACTGGCGAGTAAAAAAAGAAATTTGTTAAATGAAAATGTTCATATAATACTTAGGATTAAGAGACTGTCAAATTACGCCGATTCAAATAAGCAAAATGGAATATAGAGCTACTTAAATTTACCGTGTGAACCTTCGATCTAGTGAGAAGTTTGTATATTTTTATATACAATAGAGTCAATGAAATGAAAGTTTCTAAGTTGAATATCTTAATCTTTTAACACTGTAACAGAGAGCACAAAATTAAGACTTTAGTGCTAACCTGACGTCGAATGTTAATGTTTTTACAAGTTCGATCACATTTTTTAGACGGTTAATTATGTTTCCTGTAATCAAAATTAATAATCAAATTTCCAAGCTCAAATAATATTTTCCGAAGGTGGTTTTTCACTACAGTGTTTTTAGAATCATTGTTTGCTTGATAACAACAGGTCGTTCATTGTGATTCACAAATTTCAAAATAAATAAGCACAAAGACTCGAACTATTTAGTCAAGTTAATTGTCTTTTGAGGTGTCATTGTTTCATAGACAAAACGTGACTCAATGAAAAATATACTTCATTTAAGTGGACAAAAGATAAATTTCTGAATAATGTAAATTTATATTTTCGACCACAGAAAAGGTTATTTTTTTTTCATTTATTTATTTGTAGCAAATGTTCAACAGCAGTAATAAAAATACTTACAGTTATACGTACGCAAACTCTTTAATATTATGTTTGTATTATCTTCAAATACTTCTCTGAATCTCTTTTTGCAAGTTCATAAAAGCATATAATGCTTAGTTGACTTCTCAAATAAATTTTCACTATCATCACAAGGCATTTAGAAACTACTTAACATTTTAATATGTTTTATTTGAATAAGTTAAATGTTTCAGTTTAGTTGATAAAACATTACGTAATTATTAGAAGTACAAAGTGGAAATAACATATTTTTAAGTTGAAATGATTCTGGTACAGAAATGTAGATCTTTTCAGAAATACAAGGTAAGAAGCTGAGAACTTAAAGAACAATTTTAAATGGTACTGAATTAGTTAGTATTTATTGCAAACTTTTATTTAAAATGTATTCACATACCATACGTTATAAAAAGTAATAAAATAAAGAACATTCAAATATAATAAACAATCATCTATTTTACCACTTTGACCCCTTCACTGTCATACTTATCTATCGCCATACTTTAATATGTTAGTTCTAGTGTATTGAGTATAAAATTATACAAGTTTGCAGTTAGCTCTTTCATCATTTATTTTTTATAAAACGATTTTTCGTAAGATTATGTGAATAAATTATAGATGTCGTATTTTATTGTTTGAAAATACACACACACATATATATAAACACGTAGCTAAGTGGTAATTATGAATTGATATATTTTCATTCTATCGTTCTGTAGTATATTAGAATAGTGACAAAGTTTGAATATTCTTCCATGAACTTCAAAGTTGAAGTTTGTTGTTATTTTGTTAAGCTATTGTGAATCTATTTAAAAATTGGCTAAAGTTTAACAGACACATATACATATAGAGAAGTTTGCTGTGAGTTTTCAAACAAATATTTTTATTACACAAAACGAAAGGAAATTAACACTAAAGGTGAAACGTTAGCATTATAGAAGGCATCATTTTTTAGTATAAATATGCCCCTTTGACAGTGACACCATAGTTCGAGCCGAGCCTGAAAGACTGATTTAAAGTTTTACTAAATACTTTAGCAGTATCTAGTTCGTTTCATAACGATAAGGATAGATAAATTATATATATATATATTTACACATATACATATATAGAGGGAAAAATGACATTTCACATTACCCTGTACTTGTTTCTATGCATAAATTGAATTCTATGCAAAATCGTTACCTTAAAGCATATTAAAAACATTCTTTAACACTCACTTTGTTCTCACTTAGACTGGGTTTCGTGACATATGTTTGCCAAGAATACTTTAAATGTATTGCTTTTTTATTGTTAATAATTACAAACTGATTAGAGATAACATCTAAGTAGTGTCTCTACGAGATAATACATTTTAACCTTTATTTTTTGTTTCATGTAATAATAGTACTAACAAGTTTCTAATGTGAAAATATCGACTTCTTTGAAGCTATTTTAAGCAGAACAATTTCTACCTAATATGTTTATACAGTACATCTTGATATACTGAACTCTTACGACTCCTACAATTAATAAAGGAATTAAACACACAGAATTAGAAATCATTACCCGATTCAAATATTTCCTAAAATCTTAAGCAGAAATTCAAAATGTGTATGAAGCGAAATATATATTTTAGATTTAATTTTGTTTGTTTGTATTTTAGTGAAAAGCTTTACAATGGCCCATCTGTGCTCTGCTTACCAATGGGAATCGAACCTCGGATTTTCCCGCCAATCTCCGGGGATCTAGACTGAATTATATGACATACTAAAATTTTGGGCAATTAAGCCATCAGTTGCGAGTTGCGAGAACTGATGAAGTTAGAATAGAAAAAAAGTTAGATCATTGTTCACGATGCCACAGAGAAACAGTTTTAGGTGACAGCAGAAAATATTGCTAGGTATTTTTGAAAATACGGTTAAAAGATAAATCATAAACACCACAAAGTCACATGTAACATTCACAACCGTTATAATAACAATTTTGCAATTTCCTCAGTAGTTTTAAAATTTTATCTTTCATTCACATGTGATAGAAGAATTATAATTAATGAATGATTATAGTATGTATATATATATATATCCATTAAAACGCAAAACCGTACTGATAACAATAAACGCAAAATTCGCACAAAAATGTATTATGTTTTCTTTGCAGTATCATTTTTATATGAATTGAATTTTGAAAAAATCTCTAAAGCTTACAACTATAAGTCTTTAGTTCTTAAACATATACATTCTTATTCAAGTGAGTTTTTTGAATAAAGAAAACAAAAAACTCACGCAACAGAAGCTTGAATGTTCATTGATCTTAATCATTGCCTGACTGGTCTTTATAGAGGAGGTTTGGTCATTTGTGGAGTAATGGATTGGATAGTGGAGACGTCGATTTATTCTGTTTGATATTGCTTTTGATTTTTAACAAGAACTTTTCACACAGTTTTAAGTCACTTCTGCTTTTATTTAATAGAATGGTTCCTCTCTCTCTGTGTTTTTGGCTCATAACTACAATGAAATTGTTTGTTAAAAAATCAATAGGTTTGTACTAAATGTGTCTGGTTTATGTAATCTTGAGTCACTCAACCAGCGATATAATTCCATTCAAAGTTTCAAGTCATATGTCCTTCAGGTAGAATGGTTCACCTAGAGTCACAGACAGTCACAAAATATGAAGGTTATCACAAGATCTTGGCTTACGTATAGCTTTTTCAAAAATCCCCCTAATAAAAATTTTGGTTTTGCCTACCTACACAAAATGAAAACATGCCTGGAAATGTGAGAGTCACGGACTCTCTCTTCTTTTTCAATCTTTCCTGATGCTGATGTTTCAGCCGGATCTGACTGAGGATTCCCACCAAGAGGTCATCCACGTGATGATTGATTCCAGTTGATGTCTCAATAAACTTCCAGCTATATGCTATTGCCAATGATCTTCCCTCTGCCGAAAAAAAAAAATTAATTTGATAAAATTATGAATGACAAATCCAGTAATTTCAAGTTATTGAAAACCACGTGGTTGTTTACACATGCCTTTTCAATCTTTTCTGCGAGTGTTAACAAAAGTACAATTTTAATCCCTAAGTGATCTATTCATATACTTTTGCTTTAAGCATCTGACGCTATGATATTATAGAATGAATAACAGACGTCCCTCCAACGTCATTAATGGTCAGCATTTTATCACGTTTGCTTCTCTATCTTTACGTAGTGACATAATGGATAAGAACCACCACTAACGAAGAAATACAAATCAACGGTTGCTTAGAAGACACTGTTAACAGAAACAAGCACAGTCGCTCTTGATTGAGCGTTTAGTGTTATTTTTATATTGTTATCTCTAACATGAATTTAGGACAAATCTAAATCTCCTAGGCTTTCCAAATCTCTTGTGATATTATTGGAATTGCGGCCAAAATATAGTTAATAACGAGGAGACGCATTCTATTTATGATCTCTATATGAGTATTAGTTTTTCTTACGTACTGATTTATGACATTATGTACTCCATGCTGGTTTGTTATGCAGAATTAGCTTCACTGATTTATATATAATATTTTAGTTCTCATCTATGTAGTTAGCTTCTGATCAAAAGTACTGTTATTAATAGTACAGAGTGGAGTAATTATATTATTGTATTTAGAAATTATTCAGTACTTAAAAAGTTATATTTTTAGTGCTTGAGATTATAAAGACGAAATAAAAAGATTAAACTTACGCTCAAATTTTAAATTAGCATTTACCCATACACACAGTTTTCTACTTTAAAACACTTTTTGTATTCTTTTTCTTCAAAAAAAAAAACTTTCACTATTTTGTCAATCCCTGTCTTACAGGACTTTATTATTAGACGACTAAAAATCATCTAAACACTGGATGATCCATCGAGTTCATGAAAATCTAAAATCACGTGTCATGATTAATAGTTGATGGTTTATTGTATTATGCGTACCCAAATGCAATTTAAAGTGTTACTATATTATCATTTATTGAGCATGCTAATACACCATTTTATTTTATTTACGGATTTATACCTTACTAGTAAATATACTTGCGCCTCGCATAGCATTTATTTCCATGGTTTCACGGGGGATGGCGGGACGGCGTGCGTGTGGGTCATTCGTCATGTATCTACTAAATACAGGTGGTCAGCAAAGGTACACGCATCTTTCACGCGGCATTAAAAGTCACTCTCGTAATATTCCATGTAACAGAAACGTTCAGTGCGAGCTAATCTCAACTAGTAACATTCTTCCTTTAGCAGTAACGTTACTTGTGTACTAACCTTTAGTAGTAACACTCCGAAGTCTTGCCAGATCTGTTTTGTTCCCTACCAGAATAGCTGCTTTGATACTTCCGGCATTATCCATAATCGTCAGATGATTAACGAGTTCCATACTTTTCTGGAAACTTCTTTTATTTGTAACAGAATAAACGACTATGTAGGCGTCATAATTAGCAACGGAGCTCGGTGAATCTTTTACTTGGTGCTAATATTTCATAAAAGTGAAATATAGAATTAAAATTCATCCTATAGTACCAACTTCTAGAATATTCTAGACGATTTTACACGATCACTGGAGAAGTTATGCAGTCGTAAGAATAAATTGTTTTAGTAATCTAATAACTGTAAGAAATGATATTTTTAGTAACATCATATAACACCAGATTACAGAAAATACAAACTAAAAAGTTTTTATCATCTTTAAATCTTGGGTTTATTTTGAGGGATAATTGAAATATTATCCAAATAATTGTTATGTATATATTTTAAGGATACAGAGTTATCATCCGTATCTTTAAAAATAAGTTCAAAGTTACACAAATACAAATAGCTCCTCAGTGGCACAGCGGAATGTCTACGGACTTATACTGCTGGAAACAGGCTTTCGATACCCGTGGTGGGCAGAGCACAGATAGCCTTTTCTGTAGCTTTGTGCTTAATAACAAACAGTACCAACAACAACATATACAAATATCTATTCTGCATTTAAAATTTTTAGTGCAGGGTAGTAGATTTAGTGCATAGTCAGGGATATAATTTTATATACACCTTTATTAGTTGAGTTGGTTTGTTTGTTTTAGAGCAAAGCCACATTAGGCTATCTGCTACGTCCACTGTAGGGAATTGAACCCTATTGTAAGTCTGTAGACTTACTGCTGTCCCATCGGGGGACTTATTAGTTGAGAAAATTATAGACCATAAATGAGTGAACATAGAAGCTTTGGAATAGATATGAAAATGAGACATGATTTTAAAACGTTTCGTTTGCAGACAAAACTGGATAAATTCATATCTTGAATATGTATTTAGCTTTGATGTAAAAACAAGGTTATGGTGCATGTGTATTTTACATTTGATGTAAAACACGATTATTATGTACGCCACATAAACAAATAGACGTTTTAACACTACCTGATTAGATTAAATCATACTTTATATAAACAAACAGACGTTTTAACACTACCTGATTAGATTAAATCATACTTTATATAAACAAATAGACGTTTTAACACTACCTGATTAGATTAAATCATACTTTATATAAAAAACAGACGTTTTAACACTACCTGATTATATTAAATCATACTTTATATAAACAAACAGACGTTTTAACACTACCTGATTAGATTAAATCATACTTTATATAAACAAACAGACGTTTTAACACTACCTGATTAGATTAAATCATACTTTATTTTTATTAAGATTTCAGAAAAGAGTTTTTAACTAACAGTGTTCTATTCTTCATGTTGGGGTGATATTATCTGAGACAAAGTATAACAAAAATAAAACAAGGTAGTACTGCCTTGTTTTCAGCAGAATTTGGAAAAAAGCCAGAAAATCGACTCAGGCTGTTTAACACATGCTTTAAAACGACTACAAGTATTTAAGAAAGCTGCATAAATGTCATGAATTGTCATTCTGTAAAATTTAGTTGTGATTATACTCCTTTCTGAAGTTTTAATATGACTTTTTATGCTGTGATAGGACTGTATAAACTTTACAATCATTCCATTTATTGGGAAAATAAAATATGCATAATAGTGTTCTTCAACACCATATCTTCGTAAAATTCTGATACTATCTAACGAATTTATAGCATTTTGGTTAAAAGTATAAACTTTATACGAACAGTTACTAGCTATTGGGATATAACCCGTACTACTAGTCTTTTTAAAAACATAAAATCGCTATAAGCAAGTATGACTCGGTATATTTTTGGTAGGCTGAATTCATTTCATTGGTTTAAAACCACGTGAATGTGCTTGCTATATATTTTCATTGCATTTACTAATCACCATCTTTCAACAGCATATTCCAAAACTGGAACAAAGCATTTCAATCGTTAGAATCATATGGGAAGGGTAGAGTTGATAGGTGGGTTTGTAACAGATGATATTGATCTAAGATCAGTGACATAAACAATGCTAGTTGTATTGTCCGGGGTGAAGGTGTCACTGACGCAATAGGTTATGTATCGATGAGATAGTTTCACGTTTAAAAGGTGGAAAAAATTCAAACCTAAGAAATTTTAATAAATATTGATACGGTAAAAATAGATCCAGAATAACCAGATTGTGAATTTTTGAGCTCAAATTGGCTTGAAAAGTACATTTTTGTAGATCATAGTTTACAATATAACTAAATTTATTAAAACTTACCAAAAGGTCCTGGGCTGTACATTCAACAAACATTAGCTCTGATTCGTCTCCGTTTAATACAACAGTTACGGATTTTTCATTTTCGTCATCTGAAAGTATGATTTGATGACAAGCTGAGTAAATATCAGAAATTGGCTTTATTACCTTCAGAGATTACTTTTCTAAAGTAAGTGATATTTAATGGACGAGGTGACGAAATCTAAGGGTGTTAAGAGTTATATGATATATAACTGGATATGAAATTGGGGTTTTCGCTCAAACATCTAAAACCTGTCATAGGAAAGAAGCCCAGCTTGGGTCTATCTCTCACAAAACGAAAAATGAATTACAACATTAAAAGGTTTAAGTATCTGGTTCTAGTGAAATATACCAACCATAAAATCTTAACTAAGTGGTTGTATACGAGGACATGTATTTGAATATCATCAGATTCTTGATACACTAGTTTAGTGACGAACGTTCATTGTTACACTGGTTATTCGGTATTCAACATTTAAAGATCTATAAAACTACAGATTCATTTGTCAAGAACTCTCTTCATATTTTTATTGTTTGTATTAACTTTACAGTATATACGATACTGAGAGATATTGATAGGTAAAGATAAGTAACTAGAAAAAGTGACAAAAATGGGTGAACTCACGAACGTGTGTCTGTTTAAAGCCACGTGCGCAAGGCTGAGAAAGGAATTGTTCATTTGAGGCGTTATGAGATATATTTTGAAATTCTTTTTTGCAGTTTTAGGCGTTTCGGGGGTCAGTGTCGGCAAGAAGTAAGTACTGAAAATACTGCACCATTGAATAAGTTCTTGGTTTTTTAATCGCTTTAATAGGCTCGCGCCTGTTGTGTTAATTGCATCCGTTCAATGGCGTCACGCTTATCTATATGTAAAAGAAAATGAAATATAGATATGTAGATATAGATATATCCCACATGTCCATATCCACAGAAATCTGAGTTACAAAGATCTAATTATCTTCGTTTGCATCAATTATGGTGGAGTAAGAGTACTTTCTCCCGTATTTGTTATTTAGGGATTCAATTTGGTAAGCGTTTTGACGTAGATCGAAGAGGAGTGACGTCACTAAACACAAAAGAAATCGGTCCGTTGAATCCAATAAAGAGAAAAATAAATCTTTGAATGGTAAGTTCCTGTTTTTTTTTTATAGAAAAATAACATTCTAAATTTCAATATAAGAATTAAAAATATATTTCCTTTGAAATGAAAAAGAAAATTGTTATAGTCAAATCCAATAACATTTGACAAATATTATAGTTAGACGAGACTGAAAGATTTAATTGTAAATTTAAGTTGTGTTAGTTAACGAAACGTTCTTAGCATAAAAATGAAGACGAGAAACATCAGAATGTTAACATAATAAATTGATAATAAAAGAACATTTTGAAGTAGAATGATTGGACTATCTATTTTTATCGGTGTTATATTTCTGCCAGTCAATATATCAATTAACCAATGAAACTTAATAGATATCCAGTCGAATACGAGAAGCTCAATTTTATCGTTAAGTTAAACTCTCTCTCTAGGTCTTTCTACTTGATCGAGTAACATTATTTGTCTACTAACAAGTGTAATCCACTAAAAAGGCAACTGAGAGTAATTGTCTTAATGATAACAAAGCTTTAAGTTCCTTTTTTCTCGGAAGTGTTCCTCCCTGAGTGATTAAAATAATCTGATTTGAAGCAGAAAAAATTAACTGAAGTAACCGCATGTGACTGTCTTAACGTTAACAAGATTTTATGTATTTATTTATTTTTTCACGGAAGTGTTCCTTCCTGAGTGATTAAAATTATCTGACATGAAGCAGGGAGAATAAGCTAAAAATATAACCGAATGTGACTGCTTTAATCTCACCATAGTTTTATTTTTTTTCCCGGAAGTGTTTCTTCCTAGGCGATGAAAATCATTTGGTTTGTAGCAAGTAAAAGTCAAAGAAGCCTTGAGCCGATGTGGGAGTCAAAATTTCACTATGATTTCAAATAGTTTCTTTTTCTTTTTTGATCGAGTAAAATTGTCTGACAAATTTATTTAAGGCATACTTATGATCAAGTTGGTTGAATACGTTGAAACCCAGAAAAAAAAAGATTAATAGGACAGAGTTAATTTCTGTTTTCTTACCAAATTATAGTTTTATCAGTTATAGATCGTACTGATACAATGAGTTATTGAGCCATGCCTTCGAAAGTGAAGTGTTTGTAAGTATTTAATAGCGTTTTAAATGTAAAGAGTTAATAGATATATTTACATAGCTTCTTAGCACGGCATATCATTTAGGTTTTAAAAGACAAACCATTCAAGGCTTCAACCACGACCTGCACAGAATCTCTTTATTCGTCTTCATTAGCGTAAACAATTATAAACAATTTTTACCACTTCATGTTTCTTTTGGATTAACTCATTAACACTATTAGATCTGGTTTCAAAAATGTAGAAGGCTACATTGAATTTTAGTTGGAGGGCACTATCAAACTTAGAAGTAACAGCGTTAAAAATCACTATTAATAATCAAAGATTTAAAAATAATGTTCAAAGACTTAAGAAAATATACACCCTTTTCCACACATATATATATGTTCTACCTAACGTTTGATATGAATTTTCAAAAATAAGTTTCAACAGCAGTTTGAAATTCCTAATAATAGGTAATATTCCTAATGAATATTCACTATTTCAAGGGTAGAAATAGGAGATCCATCTCCATATTTAAATAGTTTATTGAATTTCTCTCTTTCACGACAAAAACAAAAAAAAACAACAACACGCGATTCGCAACAAGGTCAACCTTGAGAAAAATTGTATAATTTGAATTATAAGTTTGAAGACAACTGATGCTCAACTCAAGTTTTAAAATAAAAACGTATACACACTTTTATTGAAAATAATTGATAGACTATTTCTGATCTAAGGTTTTAAAGATTGACTAAACAAACGATTGATTAAACAAACGACGCATACACCTTCTGTTTCATTTTCAAAGAAGAAATTCGGTGCTTTAAGGTTTTACATAAAAACTTCTAAATTATTTTGAAATTTTAACGAAAATGTAACACCCATATTTCATGTTTAAGCTCTATAGTTACTGTAATGTAGTTACTGAAATAATCACAGATTTAAGCCTTCCCTAACTAACGTAAAGTCAGATATATTTAAGTATTTTTTTTCTAGTTTTTTGTGCAGTTGTTTTGCATTAAGTATGGCAGTCTTGTTAAAAGGATGTCAAAAGTATGTACTAACCCTTTTACTCGGGTAAAGCTGCTTTCGTTAATGGCCAAAGGGGCGAGCCAGTCTCAAGGAGTAGTTCAGATATTTGTATATCAATATGCATTACAGTTTTTCATCCCTAAATGTTCTTTAGAATAGTTGGTTACGTGTGCAACGTTGCATTTTGGTACAACGCCCTTTTAACGCTTTGCTTAAATTTTTAGCGATAAATCAGAACCTGCTCTGTTTTTGTTCTGAGCGAACGTATGGAGAATCTGTTTTGTTTGTAAGGTGCAGAAGTTCTAAAGAAGGACTCCTTTCAATTCTACTAGCTAGTTAAAGACATTACAGGCAACTTAAAACATGAGGACTTGTAAAATTTTGATTTGATCAATAGAAAATTACTTTGTTATTTATAAAAGCAAGAGACGGCTTGAATGGGTAACGATGTTGTTGTTTGAAGTTAAGCACAAAGCTACACAATGGGCTATCTGTGCTCTGCCCATCACGGGTATCGAAACCCGGTTTCTAGCGTTGTAAGTCCGCAGACATACCGCTGTGCCACTGGGGGGGGCGAATGGGTAACGAAGAAACAATATTTTCAAGTTTTACACAGTAACAAATACACAAGGTTTTCTCGGGTCTAGATAATTTACTTGCACCTGATAACAACGTAACCTTGTACATTTGCTGCTGTGTTAAACTTGTAAATAAAGTTTTCTTCATTAACTATTCAAGCCATCTCTAAACTTTACTTGCACTATTTATGTAAATACAATTTTGTTTTATTTGATCACACGTATGTTTCTTGCCTTTCCTGTCCGTAGTTGAAATGATTATCTGTAGCATTTCCTGAATATTGCATTTCTTACATAGCTTTAAAAAAATCTGTCAAACATAATTAGTTCTAAATACTGTAATTACAACTAGGTAACCGATTGAATTACTTTTGTAAATATGCTTAAAACAACCCAAGAATGGCGGACATTATGTTATTTTCTCGGTACTACTTCTCTAGCCGGCAGAGAAATACCCCACTGTTCCTAGTGTTGATCGAAAATAAGTGATAATCGATCGCAAACAACAATAAATATTACTCACCTATGGATATAGGTAAGAAAGTTTTTATATAAAAACAAGAAATAATTTAATTTGTAATTATGTGATTATACTTTCATATCTACTACGATTAATAGTTTACAAAGATCTGAATGTCTATTTTATTTGGTATTTCCAAATAAATTTTATTTCCATGGATACAGGAAAGTGTTTTTGGCAGAATAACGTAGATAAATTCAAACTAAGTTAGTGCGGCTGTTTCTCTTTTGAGTTTTCCTTAAAAATAAAGAGAACAAGCTTTAAACTCTTTATTATACCAACATATTCTTCTGTGCTTTCTGGTTTTTTCACACTCACATAAACATCTGTTAAGTGTTTCACATCAAGCTAGTAAATTGATAATTCCGAAATTTTAAAACCTACTGAAAATGCTTATTGGTTTCGTAAAATAAGTGAATAAAGGTCATCTATATAAAATCCATATTAACAATAAGCTATATTTAATGATTCTCAACCAAGTTATTAAGACTTTAGAACCCTTTACTTTCTAGTAGTTTTATAAGTTGAAAAAAATAAAAGAAGAAAAAACCGACAGCAGAAGTGTTAAACTTACATTATTGTATTATTACGTTATCATTTCACAAATTTAATTTACCTTAAATTAACATTAATTCTTAATATTTCATCATAAAAACTGACACTAAGTGAAAGTTTCTGGAATTGTGACGATAATATCGTTTTATTCGAATGATTAAAACAATAATAGTTACAAGATAGAATACTAATAGCATGATTCCATTCAGTACATTTTCTCAATTCCGTAATATAACTAATATGTTGGCAGTGTTTCGGAAGAAGCTTTATAAGTGTTCTACGTGATAAAAAATGAAAGATTTAGTTCTTACCTGGAGAATTTTCGTAGGCACATATATACTCGGAAGTGGTAAATTGGGTGGTTAAAGAAGATTTTCCAACTTCTGAAGCTCCCACTACTAACACCTTGTGTCTCTCTATGTCTGTATCAATTTCAGGGAAAACTTGGGGAGTTGGTAAAGGGAGATGGCTTCTGGAAGATCGTATAGGCGTCGTAGAAAAGTAATATTGAGACGCTATGGATGATTCGCTATGAGAGCTTCGAGATTTGTTTCGGAATGAGTCCCCTCGGTTGATCAAACCCTTTGAAGTCACGGAAAAGTTCCGGAGACGTTGAAAGTCACTATTCTCATCTGATAGTGAAATAGAGTGTTCAGAAGACGATCGAAGTGGAACCAAATTTCCAAGCAGCACGCTATTTTCAGTAGAAACGCTAACTATACTTTGACGGAAGTTCCTCAAAAAAGCAGCCGACTGTGGCTGTATGGGATTCCGCATAGACTGGGACCTGTTTAGACCTTTACGTTTACACCTTGAACTGTCTTGTGGCAACTTTTTTTCAATCACAAGAGGCTGCAGGTCAACTCCGTCGGAAATAAGAGAATTAAGCTCACCTGGTGTGGAAATGAGGGGTACTACAGCAAGGAAAGGCCTTGGTCTAACACATTCTCGATTATTAAGTGTTCTTAAGTCAGGTGTGCTTTTTGGAGACAAGCTGGTCAGTTGCTTTTGACTTGTCAGACTGGTAAGGAAATCTTGTTTAATAACAGGCATTTTGATAATCTATTGAATTTTAGTGATATTGATCTACTATACCTCGAACATCACACAAATATTCTATTTTCTACAACGCTATTAAATAAGAATTGAAAAACCTGAAATAGTTTTTCATACCGTAAAAAATCTGCTCATTTTAATTTCGTCGTTATTTTTTTTTTCATTTATTTCTGTGAATCTACTGATGCTTTCCTCTCTTCAGTTATTCTGTACCGTGTTAGAACTATATAGCAGTTGAAAAAGTCACGTGGACTCAGCCATGACGTCATTGCTGAAGTCATGGGCTTGTGAACTGCTGGTGTCAAGCGGCTCGCGGCCATGACTGCTGTTTCTAGGGTTATTAGTTTCAAGGACTAAGCAGATATAGTAATGAATGTTTATGGGACTGCACCAAAGCATGTAAACGAAAGTAATCCACCTTTACAAGTAATGACTCGAGCCTCGTCCAGTGATCATATCACTTGAACTTCTGATCTATAAAAGTATGTTACTATCAAGCATATAAAACGTTTCGGTATCTAATACATTCAAAATCAAGGTTATTCAAATCAACGAACATGTAGTGTCAAAACTAAATGTATTAATCCTTAAAAAACAACGGAAAAACGTATTATTTTACTAATGGTTTATTTAATACAATCACTGTAAATCTCTTTTGATCAGCAATAGGGTCATATCGAATTAGTGTTAATCATTTTTGTTAATCCTGTTTATGTCATATACGTAATGTCATATAAAAATAGAACTATCTTAAAAAACTCTTACTTCGTGCTTCATTGGAAACCCTGTGATGACAAGTTGAAACTGGCAACACAAGCTCGACTTTCAAGATTGTCGTGTCACGTGATTTGAAATCGACCACATTCCAATGTTCATAGCGTACCCTGAATTCATTATAAAATGGCAGCTAGTTTATTTGATATCTTTGGCTTTTTAGAAAAACGGATCATACGAATCAAGCTTAACAGTAATGATAAAACTAGATGGCCATATCATATTAATAGTAAAATAATGGATATAACTGCTTTTCTATATATTTGAATAAAATTTTGTTTCTCCAGCATTAAAAGTTGTTATATATATATTTATTTATGATACATATATAGCGTTAAGTTTGTGTAGAAAGTAAACAGTTATACCGGTAATACTGCTAAGATTAATATTTGTGATATAAAGTTGTTCATAATTATTAGAACATCTAAATAATTCGTTTGAGGAGAACATTTAATACGATCCTTCAAGTATTTATAATGGTTTATATGTGTAAATATGTAATTTGCTCCTAACTGCTTCTTACAAGCATAAAATAAATGCCAATGTAAATAAAAAAAGATATTAACATTTATATATGAAGCAAAAAATGGTACAATTTAGTGATTTCATTTATAGAATGTTCTCTGCAAATAACCTATTTGCAAAGAAAACAGGCTTTTATTGTCTACAATAATATTGTTTAAGATTTTGTCTCCTGACAGAAAACGTACAATTAAAACTGAACATATTTGTTAGTTGTTTTTTACATGGTGTTTTGATTTATTCATACAGCGTTATTGTTAGGCATATATTATACCAGAAGATCGGAATGATATTGATATGTTCAACCTGAGCTGACCTTGTGCAACACATCGGCTTAAAGACTAGGTCAGAGATACTTAGATATTAGATATGGTAGCCCATAATTTTGAACAATTGCCCAGAATATTAAATTAACAATGGTTTTCTGCTTAATATACTTGATTCAACTGACTACATGATATATTTTTTTACGGGGGTGCTGAATTTTGTTTACCTGAAAAAATTTCTAAAACGTGAGGAAAAACATAGTTTAGTATTTTGTAAGGTAATTGGTTAGTGAATTGATTGTTTGCGGTATTTGCCCGAATTTTCATAAAATGGCCAATCTGAGGGAGGCTGTAGCCACCCTTGCCCTACCATCCAGTACGCTTATGACTACACCTTATACACTATGAACAATGTGATACTATCACTAGTTATTAGTAAACCCTTCTGTTCATAACTGACTACGGCAACTTCTTATTTCAAGGTTAAAAGGTAACCATTTAAGTTACTTGGTAGAGAATGGGTGTTGCAAGGATAAAATTATTCGGTTGTGAAGATATACTGTAAGTCTGATATATTTGGTCGTTAAGGAATGCTGAAGAACACTAGTAAATGGATCGTTAATTGATGCCGTAAAAGTATAGATATTTGGTCGTTAAGGGATGCTGAATAACTCTAGTAATTGGATCGTTAATTGATGCCGTAAAAGTATAGATATTTGGTCGTTAAGGGATGCTGAAGAACACTAGTAAATGGATCGTTAATTGATGCCGTAAAAGTATAGGTATTTGGTCGTTAAGGAATGCTGAAGAACACTAGTAACTGGATCGTTAAATGATGCCGTAAAAGTATAGATATTTGGTTGTGAAGAATTTTTATAAATCTATACCTATTCGTTCATAAAGGGATGGTGTAGACTTGTAATGGTGTGGTTTTGAGAAGTGTTACAAATCTAGTTATTCCATCGTGAAGTTTGTTTGTTTGTTTTGAATTTCGCGCAAAACTACACGAGGTCTATCTGCGCTAGCGGTTCCTAATTTAGCAATGTAAGATTAGAGGGAAGGCAGCTAGTCATCACCACCCACCGCCAACTCTTGGGCTACTCTTTTACCAACGAATAGTGGGATTGACCGTCACATTATAACGCCCCCACGGCTGAACGGGCGAGCATGTTTGGTGGGACGGGAATTCGAACCCGCGACCATCAGATTGCGAGTCGAGTGCCCTAACCATCTGGCCATGCCGGGCCCCATGTGAAGTAAAGTTATGAAGGTGTTACTGAGGAAAAAGTACGCTAGGTGTAGTCGTTGGATGTTGATGGTGTAGAGGCGTAGATATCAGATCAGGAACGAATGTTATAGAAGTGCACATATTTAGCAGTGAAGAAATGCTGACATACTTAGCTTGAGTCACCCAGCTGTGATAGAGTTTTATGGATATCAGTTTTGAGTTCGGAAAGTCAGGTAGTGAGTTAGTTGTGATGTGGTGTTATAGAGTGGTAGTTAAATAGGTTGTAAAGTTTTGTTGTTTGTGTTTTAATTAGCTGTTTGATCGTAGAGTGATGTGGTAAAATATTGCTATTTGGTCATGATTGCGTGTTATTGAGGTGTAGGTTTTGCTGTTAGGTTGTGTAGTGGTATTGATTTAGGCCGTTAACGAGCTCTTTAATGGTGAAAGTACTCTTTGTGAGGGAGTAATGAAACCGTTATAATTAAATTCTGGTTTGAAGAAGCTTCGTAATATGTAGTTATTTGATCGCGAGGGGATGCTGTCCATATAGGGACAAGATAATTAGTTATGTGGTTGTGAGGGGATGTTGGTCATAAAGGGGATAAGATAGTTAGTCATGTGCTTGTAAGGGGATGTTGACCATAAAGGAGATAAGATAGTTAGTTGTTATGTGGTTGCAAGGGGATGTTGGTCATTAAAGGGATAATACACTAATTTATGGGACCGTGAAGGGGACTGATTGTGTTGCGATTTGATTATGAAGCACAGTTTCAATAAAATATCTTTCACACTGATTATGAGTCTTCTTGTGATTTATGAGATCAAGAGTAATTTGGATTGGATTCTGGTTTTTACGTCATATTATTAGTTTTCTTCCCAAATTGTAGTTTTTTTGTTTTCACTACCTCTGTCATCCATATGCCAGGATATTTCTCAGGTAAATATAATTGTACTCTTTGTAAGACTTAAGGGTTTTATTTTTGTAATTTTTTTTTGCTGCAGATAGTACCCACTTCGTTAATTAAAATTCATGGGATTTTTCTATAAGAATACCGAACGGGATAAGTTAAGTATAGGACACCTGTAACAATGCAGTTTGAGTTCTTCAGACAACAATTAGCCATCTATAAGCTGGATTCCATGAGACCAATATTACCAGTAACAAGAACAACAACGAAAGTGAAAGTGCATTTTAGAAAGGGAGAGAACGAAGAAAAAGGACAATTCCATTCCTATACATTTTATTCTAATACACGACTCGGCATGACCAGGTGGTTAGGGTGTTTGACTCGCAATTTGGAGGTCGCGGGTTCGAGTCCCCGTCCCACAAAACATGCTCGCCTTTTCAACCGTGGGGGCGTTATAATGTGACGGTCAGTCCCACTATTCGTTTGTAAAAGAGTAGCCCAAGAGTTGGCGGTGGGTGGTGATGACTAGCTGCCTTCCCTCTAGTGTATCACTGCTAAATTAGCGCAGATAGCCCTCGTGTAGCTTAGCGCTAAACTCAAACCAAACCAATCCTAATACACGATTACGTGCTAGGGAAGAACACGAAATAAACACAATTTTAATAGGTTTCTAATATTGAAATTGAAGTACATAGTTTATAGTTTCATACGAAGCATAAAATTTCTGGGATACGGTTAGCAGGTTGGTTATTTTAGAGCAAAGTCACATTGGGTTATCTGCTTTGTTCACCGAGGGGAATCGAATCCCGGATATATTAGCGCTTCAAGTCCGTAAACTTACCGCTGTCTCTGAGATGCGAAATGGATCTGCAATCAGATAAACTTATCCACTTCTAACAGATTTGTTTTCAATTACTATATGGCGAAAACTGACCAAGTAACTGTCGGTTATGCAAAAACAAACTATGATGTTATGAAATAATACTTTTTTCACAAGAATGGACATCCTATGTTAAATGACTGACAAAGTGTATATTAAAGTATAGAGATTTTCCATAGTATCCATTAATAAGAAGTGTTTTGCCTAAACACTACATATAAAGCTCATGTTTTGATTTTTCAAATGTTCTTTTCGACAAATAAATTATGGTAAATGTTAATGCCTATTGATGCTCTATATATTGAGATATGAAAGTTGATGCTTAGTGCAATTATGCATTTAAATGAATCTTTTAAGGAAGTATTACTTTTTGTGTTACATACTTGTTTTTTTGTTTTGTAATTAAGCACAAAGCTACA